TATACGTAATACATTCAGAGTATTCTATTATCAGCATAAAACGACTTATGACTTGCTGATAATATTAGATACTTTATTTTTTTTTCCTAAACTACACTTTCCAAAATTTTTAAATCTAAGCTGATGCTGTAAAATTAATCCTGGACTTTTGAACATGTTAAGTGTTTAAATCAATACAAAAATATCTGGAAAGAAGAACAGGGTGAGATTGGTCATGGAAGCAATTAATCATTGAGCATTTAAATTCAGACATTAGGAAACAATTACCATCTGTGGAGCCGACTTTAACACGTCCCATTTAAGCTATTGTGCACATATCTAAATGGGATTTGGCAGGTAGATAAAAGATTTGTTGATTCCTGTTTGGGGGATTGCTGTAGACTTGCTGCTTCAACAGACTTTCAAATTAGGTTTGAGTCTTAGAGAACAAACTGAGCCCTGAAATCCTTTTCTGGCATTGCAACACCCCCTCCCCAAACCAACAAATATAATAAGCCAAGGCTAAGGAAGGTTCTAAACTGCATGTGGAACAGCTGCTGTGCGCTGTTGCAGAAGCTCAAAGGGAAAAACACTTTAGGGGAGAAAAATTGGCTGTTACTTAGTCTTCAAAAACACAAGAAGTTTCTATAAACAGCAGTGTACATTAGTCTGAATGTGCGTACACCTGTGGGGATCACTTACTGATTACTTGCTTTCCGGTTCACTGGGCTTTGCTTTCATTGCTTCGTCCAGTGAGAACACAGAGATCTGGGATATTTAAGGCACTGTTTAGATGATGCGTGATCTGTCAGCTTAGAAACTACTGTTTACCTAGGCCTGGCTAGGTGTCTGAAATTTTGCTTTGATTGTTGTAAATAATGTATCCTGAGTGGAGCAGCATTTGACTTTTAGGGGTGGGAATTTTTACCCAGAGGACCAAGATTGGAATGATAAAATACATTTTTAACTTACCCATTGAAGGGGTCTAAAAAACATCTTAAGAGACAAGGAAACGTTAAACAAATTAATTCAGTAGAATCTTAGAATTGGAATGTTTTAGAGTACATCTTCCTCATTGTAGGGAGGAGGCTACTCAGAACCAAATATTCTTACACTGTGGTCCAGTGTGCCTTTTCCTCCCTCACTCAAAATGAATGCAGGCAGATGCAGTAATGGGACCGACTCAGGATCCAATGGGAGGCCAAGGTGGTTTGGGAATCAGATATCGGGCACAGGGATCATCTACCAGGAGCAAGTGTGACCTTAGTCTTAACACAGTACTGTGACCTTTGTGCTTTGACTTCCCTCAAGCAGTCTTCGAGGTATCCAGCACTCAAGTTCTCGATCCATGTTTTAGAGTGGGGAGATTCGTAACACCAATCTTAAGAAAAATACCACTTATCAGCAATTAGCTAAGCTACTTACGTGGAGGCCATCCAATTAGGTTCAGAGGCATCAGTGACTTGATGCTAATCCACTTGCTGTGTCTCGTGGAAACCTCTCCCTGCTTCTGATATTTTTCCAGAAGCATTTCAGGAAGTATCAGATACCTCCCCATGGGCCATGTGAGATCTAGCAAGCTTTTACAGGAAGCTGTCTCTCTCTGTCAGGGCTTCCCACTAATTACTGACCAAATGGAAGACTGATGTGTGGAATGATAAAAATCTGCCTGTTTGCATCTATTCTTCTCCATTCCCAGTCTCTTAAAGCTGGCGTTGTTTTCTTAGGTGAAACCCAGAGACTGACTTTTAAAACTCCCTTTCTTTGTAGCACATCTATGGGGAAGGATGGACGCTCCATAAACTCTGAGCAGGATTTAAAATTCCATTTAATGCATTTGTTAGAATCAGGGAAAAGAGACTCAAAGGCAGAGTGAGACAGGGAACGGTGTGGGGCGCAAGAAAGTGGCTGCTGTGTGGCCACAGGGAACAGGGAGTGTAAAAAGCTTCTTGTACACATCGCCTCATCTATAAAAACCAGAACCACTTGGCATCTCTCTAAGTAACAAATGGATCTAAAGGCTGTAGAGAAGAGTTGTTGGCAGGAAATAGTCCCTAGGGCTATGATATTTTCAGACTGTGTGCATTTCCCTATAATGCATAGGTCATAGATTACAGAGCTCTGTTCACATATATTTCTAACTAAGGATTAAATGTCACCGGTTCTGGTTTGTCTGATAATCATCACTTCTCAGGGTAGGAGAATTAATCTGGTTCGTTGAGATAAAAAGAAACTGAATTTTGCTTTTGAGGTGCAGGGGAAAGGAAAGATGTGTGAAGGAGTATTTAGAAGAACAGGGATGGAGATGTTCGTGATTGAGGACAGAGATAGTAGTAGTACAGGAGAGGAGTAGGAAGCTTGGGCAGACCCTCTCTCAACTTTCAGGACTCGACTTTAAATAGAAACCTGTTTTCTACAAACAAGTAATAACTGACCTGGAGGTGTGAAATCTTTCTGTGCTTGAAACTCGTTATAAGCATGCACCTGGCACATAGCAGAGCTCAAAGGAAGAGTCCTACAAACTCTGGCTGATTGGTTTTTGACTCCACAATTACCACACAGCATTGAATTCACTGGTGGCTAATACATTTGTGGGAAAAAGGAACCCTCAGCAGACACTGCAGCCACACAAAAAATCTGAGTTTAATTTAAATGCCTGGTTTGTCCCAGAGCCAACTGGTTCTGCTGTGTTTCTCCCTTTGAAACATGGAGGTAGCAGGTTAACTGGGTGCCACAGAAAATGTCTACAACTTAAGAAATCTCCATTTCCTGTCCTAAACATTTGCAAAAGTGGATCCCTACACGTCCCTACATGTGACTCACCCTTGCCTACATGTTGACCCTGCTCCCCTCCCCAGATTCAAAATAAGCAAACAAACAAAAAACAAGCAAACCCTTACCTGCTGAAGACAGGAATAGACAAAATATCAAAACCCTTGTTATGCCTGATACTACTTAGCATTCAAAAAATTATGCTAGGTCCTAATTCCTGGCAAGATTTACTTTGGGAATGACATAGACACTTAATAGTGGGCAGGATGTTAAAGGATACTCAAACCTTTTGATCCCAACCCTTTGAGTCACTGTCTTCATTTATACAAGTTGTGCTTCTTCCCAAGTAAATGTAACACTTAGTTATTTAATTTTTTAGTCTTGTATCTGCTACCGTGAAGTCTTTAATTGCTATAGCATAGCAGAGGATCCCTTATATTCTTGAAAATATTTAGGATCTTAACGAAGGCATAAAAATAAACTACTCAAAACCTCTTGTCAAGTTCAAGCTCAAAGCTATTGTATCCTTTGGGTTATTTTCACATTCTCAGTTTTCTTTATTTTCCAACACCTTTCAATTTCTGAGTCCTAACTGTGCCCACGACCATCTGTAGCCCCAGTCTGGCCCAACCTTCTCAGTTTAGGTAGTAATCCTCATTTCTGAGACTCATAATCTCCGTTAACTCCTCTGAACCTTTCTGCCTGGCCTGGGCCTGACAACTGAAGAGCAAGCAGGCCCCTTTTTAAATCTCATCCTTTTGCTAGAAAATGTAATATGACAAAGATAATGCATCCCATGTTTTCGTAACAATGGTTTGCCCCAGGGAGAATTAGCGTCACCATGTACTTTTTAGCAGCTACTTTTCCTCTCATTTAAATAATTTATTTTTTTATTTTTAAAATTTTTTTTTGAGCATCCCGACGCCGTCCTGCTGACGTCGGTCAGGGGAAAGACGCCCTCCCTGAAGGCTGGCCAAGCCGTCTCTTCCTTTCATTAGCGGCATAACCCTGTGTTCCCGCCGGAGACCTGGAGGGAAGTGTAATGTTCCCACTGGGACCTCGGATTTTCTCGACTGGCTGGAAAGCTGGGCCTAAATGAAATATAAAATATTAACTGCACGATAAAACAAAGGATTCAGCCTCCAGGCGGCTTCTGTGCCTAAGGCTTGGCTATGTCTCTCTGGCCTTTAGGCCTCTCCGTCTCATCCCCACCTCGTCCCTCCGCGGGATCCACGAGTGGACTCACATCTCTCCAAAGAGAATTCCCTGGGCCGGCCACCCGACTCCTCTCCCTCCGACGCCGGTTCCCTTCTGCGGAGAGCGCAGAATGACCACCAGGAGGCCAGGAACGAAACACTTAAATGTTGCCTTTATTAAGGAAATGTTAAACAAGGGGGAGGAGGTAAAGTCAAAATGTCACGAATATCAAGAGCACTTCTGTGGCGTAAATCGTGCAGTCACGAGCTACAGATGAGTTCTAGTAGGGTCTTTGCCCGGGCCAGCTGGGGCGTCCGCTCCCGCCCTCCCAAAAGGCCCAGCTGTGAACGCGAAAAAACAAACAACTCACCCGGTTCACATTCTCAGGCTTCCCCTCCCCCCACCCCTTTCCCCACGTTGACAAAACTCTTAACTCCCAGGCAGGCAAACAGGTCACTAGGACAGAAAAGGACTTATCAAATATTTATATTCAAGCAAACACAAAAATCCATTAAAACGGCAAGTTGTAATCAATCAAAGGTATTTATCGCCTCTCCCGCCAGGGCTGTGAGGAGCGGGAGAGAATGGGCGCGAATACGTACACAGATTCGTGTCCCCATGAGTTTTGTTACGTGGCATATACATCGATCACTTTCCAGGCCGCCCGGGCATTCGGTGCCTCTGGGTCTCTCCCCTGCCCACCCTCTCCACCTACCCCCAGAGCTTGGCCCACCTGCGGGTGGAGAAGGGCCTTCGCCCCGTCGGTTTCCCCGCATCCCAAGCTAGCGGCAGCTTCCAAAGTTTGCGCCCCAATCGCCCTCTTCTTGCCACTTGCGGAGGAGTCCAGAGTCAGGGCGCTCTCGTCCTATAGCCAGGCACGGGGACTTTCCAAGAGCGTGCGAGAAACAGGTCGCTTCGTCCCGAAAGGCAAAAGTCGAGAGAAATAATCGACTCCGACAGGTTTGCTACGCCCAATCTCGATGGTGAGGGGCGCGGCCGGGCTGGCGAGGTGGGGAGACGTGGGGCGGCCGCCACGGGGGCCGGCGGGCCGGTCAGTAGGGCCCCACGACCACCGCCTCCACCTCCTTAGACGGTCTCCGGTCTTTCACCAGGAAGTTGATCATGCCCTCGGACTTAATGAGGAGGTTGCAGCCGAGGAAGAAGATGCCGAAGACCACGGTGAGCGAGAGCACGCACATGACGGCGATCTGCACCACGCGCATGATGTACAGGCTGCGCTCGTCCGGGCCGCCCTCGGCGAAGCCGTCGTCTGTCACCACGGACGCCTGGGTGCAGCAGCGCACCGCACGCTCCAGCGCCTCGCTGCTGTTGGCCAAGAACAGGCCAGCCACATCTGTCTGGTTGCCCAGAGCGGGATTCATCGCCGGAGCGGGCGGGCACCTGGGAGGCGCGGGTCCGAGGGCTGGGAAGGCGGTGGCGCGAGAGGAACAGGTGCCGAGCTAAGCACTCACTTGCAGACTTGCGCGAGCGGCGGCGGCTAGCTCTCTCCTTGCCGAGGTCTCCGGACAGGCGGAGGTTCCCCGGAGCCGTTCCGGATCGCGCCGCAGCCTGCCTGGTCTGCGCCGTCTGCTCCTGCCCGGCGCTCTCTCGACTGGGGGCTGTTGGAACTTGACGGCGCTGGGCCAGCAGAGACGTGGGAGGTGCGGGCGGCGGCGAGGCTGCTGGTCTGAGCGAACAGCGGCCCCTCCCGGCGGCCTGCCGCGCTGCGCCCGCTGTGGTTGGGCGGTGGGGAGGCAAGGGAGCGAACCTCCCGGAGGTCTTGCTTTTTTCTTGCTTCGCCTCTTTTCCAATTCCAACGGCTAGGCAGAGGTCACTGCACTTTTCTGGCCTGATGGGTAATTAAAGAGTTTCGGGTTAGGGGAGGTTGCCACCAGTTGAAAGTTTCCGAAGAACTGGGTCACAGCAGCTCTGAGTGCTCTTTGTCTCCCGCCCCTCTCACCTCTGCGAGTATGGAAAGTGGCGATGAATCAATGAATCGCAGGTGCCAGATGGTGCTTACGAATGCATGGGCTGGCCGCCTGTGCCTGACTCAGTCTGGCCTGAGAGGGATTTCTAGTGGAGTAGAGTTAATCTGGGTGTATTTTTAAAAAAGCAATGATTTTAGGGAGAAAGAAAAGTAGGGAGGGAGGGAAGGAGGAAAAGAAGGAACAAAGGGTGGGAAGAAGGGAGGGAGAAAGGAAGCTTTGGAAAACACAGTAAAGGAGGTTTTATCATGATTTTTAGGGCAAAGGAAAGGGATTTACAGGAAGATGTTCTTCGGTGGCCTTCGTGTGGAGGCGTTTGCCAGGAGCAGGGCCACCTCACTGGTAAGGGAGGTGAAGGCTGACAAGGAGTAGCCGGCCACTCTTCTAATCCGAATTCCAGATGAGTTTTTTTATGTGCTTCTATTGTTTTTCCTCTTAAATCAGTTGTTTAAGGGAATTGTCCATCACATCCATCACCTAGAACACTGGCCACCTGCTGGAAATCCTCCCCATTTTCCATAATCTGATGTTTTTCACCGTAGTCATTTAAAACAAAACTCCAGATGTTTTAGAGGCCTGATTGAAGCTTTAACCCATTATAATTTTACCAACAGTTTCAGTGAAGCGTTATAAACCTATCAGATTGTTTCTTAAACTCTAGAATTTAAAAAAAAAATCTCTTTTCTACATTCTTTCCTCCTTCTTGCCATTCTTTCTTTCCTCTTCCTCTCCTTCCTATCCTTTTTTTCTTTCAGTTCTTTAACAGCTGGAAACTTTGCAGCCTCATCAAAACCTCTGATAGAATACATTTACTAAATTTCTACTGTAACACAGTAGCTGTTACATTTTTCACTCTATTCTCAATTCCATTCTCTGCTTGTTCAACCTTCTAATTTCTGTTTACCCAAACATCAGTTATTCCATGTTCAGAGGTTTCCTTAAATGTTTTTGTACTATTTTGTGGCAATCATAAAATAGGATGAACTTTTCTTTAGTTAAGAGTTTCCAATTTTTGGATGTTGATTATATATCAGCTTCAATAAGTTTAGAACCTTCTACATAGCATTTTTTTTTCCTTTGGGAAGATATTTAGTGTCTCAAGACCCAGGTTTCTGGACCTTGTCCACAGTTCACATAGTTTATTGCTCTAGTTTCCATGATTATAGTAGTCTTGAAGAATGCTCCACTCCCAGTAATTTCTTCTTTGGACAAATGTATTAGTTATTGATTTTTAAAAACTTACTTATATCTCACTATACAATTAGTCTATCTTAGTTAATGTGGGTGGTACTTAAGAACAATAAAACAGTGTACATGCAAAAAATTACAGAAGAGTTTAAGACAATATAAAGCAATGTCACAATGAATGACAGGCAAGTAGTAGGAATTGAGAAAAGCAAAATGTGGACAATAGAGAAAGCAAAATGTGGACAATAGAGATCAACTCCCAAAGATATTAACTTGCACAGAATTTTATGTTTAGTAGAAGATGGGTGTTGATGAAGAGAGAAAGAATAGCCCCTTCTTTGAGTGGCAAAAACAAATAGAGTTAGAGAATATTTTGTAAAGGCCAACATGGTAGACTTGAGAGATAAAAATTTCCTAAAAATGTTAATTTGATCATTATCAGAATTTGTATGTATTTGTTGATATTAATAATATTACTGTTTTAGTAAGTAGTCAGTGTTAAAATGATTAAAACTTGGAGTCCAGTGGACATTTTATATTGTCAAACCTTTAAATTTGGGGTGCACATTCTTAAAAGAAGTAAGGTAACACTGTGACTTTGCTTATTTTCTTTCAGGTTTAACTACTAACCAGTCACAAAATTGTGAGTGTGCTATTTCTATCAGCTAGTTCAGATCTTTAGGAATGTGGTTTTGTTTCCTTTATCATCTCCACAATCCCTCCCTTCACTCTAATTTTTCTCGATAAAATTGCTTGGAGTATTTAGATGGAAATGAAACCTAATAATACAAAATTACATTTATCTTTCCTCACTCATTACAGCACATCGGGAGTCTGGGCTGCTAGAGCTTCTCTAAAGAAACTTTTATTTGAAAAAATCCTTTAAGAAATATTGATATAGAAAAGCCTAATTTATAGAAAAATAGATGATGATGTGGAATGGGGTGATGTACTGATAATTCACTTTAAATGAAAAGTTTTAACACAGAAGAACTCAGTGTTAAATTTATTTAACTAGTGACCTCTCCTACTTCATTGGAAAGAAGATTTGACTTTCAGAAAGTTAAATGCTCAGCACTTCACAACATGTATGTAACACAAGGAAAGAAACACTTATTTGTTCTTTCCTGGAAATGTATTTATGACATAATACATTCTACAAGGACATTCCAGACTGGTATTGATGGGCACCTGTAATCAGTAGTCATTGGGTTTATAGTTTGTTTGTTTTTTTTAAGTTTTGCATTTCTTTTTTTTTATGATTTTATTTATTTTTAGAGAGGGGAAGGGAGGGAGGAGAGAGGAAGAGAAACATCAATGCATAGTTGCCTCTCATGTACCCCCTGCTGGGGACCTGCCCGCAACCCAGGCATGTGCCCTAGACTGGGAATGGAGTCCACCGTCCTTTGCTTCGCAGGCTGGCACTCAATCCACTGAGCCACACCAGCAAGGGGGGGTTTATAGGTTAAATAATCTTAATGTAGGACCAGAGATTTTCCATATTAAAGCCTTTTCTCTTGGTTCTTCCATTGTATGTTATGAAAATATTAAAACTTTTTTTTAAAAAGATAGTATCAGACATAGAAAGGATATTTATTATTTGGGCACAGTTTTTAAAAAACCAAATTATAGTATATTACGCAATATAAGTAGGAGTAAGAGTAAACACTAATATTCCTTCATAAAGGCAGACAAAACAGCTGGAGCATGCACACACAAAAAGCTAGAAAAAGATTAAATTTGTTACTGAACTACTAAAATAAATAGCATGAACTTCAAATATATAAATTCATATGTTTTTACCCTTAGATATACCCCTCAAGTTCTCTCAAACCTATGTACTTCTACTTTTTATATATTTTTAATTCTTTTCTGTATCTGTTTTTCTTGGTGATAGGATATCAGTATCGACATGTAGGTTGGAGAGAAGAAAATGGCAAGAGGTAGGTACTTTTACCACCACAAGGAGTAATACCAGAAGGGAAAACAAAATAAAACATTAAACAGCACTCATGTTTTAAAAAAATGTACAACATCAGTTTGGAGATATTTAATACCGAGACAAACATTCTTAGATGGTTATCAGTCTAGCAAAACATGTGAAGGCGTGGACTTTGAATTTTGTCGACTTCACTTACTAGCTGCATGACCTGGAAAAATTCCCTTTATCTCCGTGTATCTCATTTATTTATCTGTGAAATGGGAATGATATTTCCCGGGATTTTGAAGGGATTAATTTGCTTTCTGAAAATAACTTAGAATGATATCCAACACATAGCAAGATCTCAAGTAAAAATATCTTTCAGTAGCCCCTGAAGGGGGCATCAATTTGTATAAATTATTAAAAGGAATAAAGGTTACATTTGGTTTAATATTTCATTTTAACAAGGCTGGAAAGTGAGTGATACATTTTAGAAAGATTTCTGTATGAAGTGATTGACCTATATAGCTAAAACATTCTAAGTGTGGGAACAAATTAGACTCTCGTGAATTGCTGCAAAATGGTGTACCCTCTGGGGAAAACAGTATGGCTGTTCCTCAAAAAATTAAACATAGAAGTGCCACCTGATCCAACAATTCTATTTCGAGGTATATACCCTCAAAATTTGAAAGCAGGCACTGGAGCAGGTATTTGTACACCAAAGGTAATAACAGTGTTATAAAAAGATGGAAACAACCCAAATGTTCATCAGTGGATGAAGGGATAAGCAAACTGTGGTACATGCAGGCATACAATAGACTATTATGCGGCCTTAAAAAGCAATAAATTCTGATACACACTCGACATGGATGAATTTTGAAGGCATTATGCTAAATGAAATAAACCAGAAACAAAAAGACAGATATGATATGGTTCTATTTATACTAGACACCTGAAATAGTCAAACTCAGAGACAAAAGTAGAATAGTTGTTTCCAGAAACTGGGAAGAGGAGAGGATGGGGAAGATGAAAAAGTTCTAGAGATGGACGGTTGTGATAGTAGCCCAGCGGCATGAATGTACTTATTGCTACTGAATTACATACTTTAAAATTGTTAAAATGGTAAATGTTATGTTATATATACTTTACCACAATAAAAATCTTAAATATTTAAACCTAACATAAATATTATATGTAAATTTCAGAAATTCAGAAAAGTTAAAAAATAACTTCTCTATCTCCCCAGAGTTCAAAGATAACCATCCTTGGTAGTTTAGAATATTTTCAT